CCGCTGGTGAAGCTAGGTCTAGCCTTGACTGCATCCAGTCATGCCTGAGAGTTTGTGAGACGGTGGTGGCAGCTGCTTTTGTAAGTTCGTGGGGCAAGCCCAAGTGGTGTCCAGTTGGTGTGTTACATTTCCCGAGGGGTGTCGTTCATGAGGCTTGTGTTGTGTTTGCAGGAGGGGGGTGCGTTCGACGGTCGACGGACTGCAGGTCAGCGAGTCTGGAATCGTTGGCTGTGAAGATGAGTGACCTTGAGGGTACGGGGCCTTGAGCAAGGACGCCAGTCATGGCCATGATGGCTGTCGGCAACAGTGACACCTCTGGCTGGCCTACCCAACAGAAAAGCTCATGAAACTCTTTAGCATCAACAGCGAAAAGACGGTGAAACCGCGGTCCAAACGGCCAACTACGTCCTACAGTGAACCTCATCAGCCACCGGGTTGATTCGGAGAACATATGGTCGCATAACCAAATTAACGAATCAGCACCAGGATTTTTTGAACTTATTGGTAAGGACTCTGGTAGAGCAAGTGCGTTTTAGCTTTAACAGTGGTGAACCGGCAAAGCTCTCCAAATCGCTAGCACCGCGGTAAATCTGTTCAGGCGTGCTTATCCTATATCTCAGATCAGAATGAGGACACGAAAACGGTCAAAAATAACACAAGGTTTCTTGAAGAAGCAAGTACAAAGTTTGCAGCCTCCTTATTAGGAAGTTCGCAGTCTCAAGCAATTTCGGAATTTTACTTATAATTGAAAGCCAGTTAGGGGACTTAGCCTGGAGTTTTAGTTGCTTTTCCTTGATTCTACCAGGGCGGACTTCATAATGGTGTCCCGTCCATGCGCATCGGCAGCCAATACCTACTCCAAATTAAGTCATGGCGGATCGTTGACATCTGCCAACTGGAAAGCAAGCAGTGGTGAGCTCCACGCGTGGGCGCGCCGTCCGAAAATTGCTCCAGCCGGTTTGGTGACACAAAACTCAGCGAAAACTGTCGACGACCGCGGCCACAGATTACAACAGGAGCGGACTTTTCAACGAGTACGTAACGAAAAGCCATTATAAGAAACGCAGCCAGGTCCTTGTTTCCCGGTCCACTTGACGGTATAACAGACTAGTTCCCTGCCGGTAGGTGTGCTTTCGCTCCCCCTGGGTATACAGATCGTGAGCAGGGTTGCCCAGTCATCCTCGTCCTCTAGCTTCTCCTGATGTTGATGTTATTGGTTAAAATCCTGGTCAGTTATTGTGTGGACAAGGTGCAGAGCTGCCACAAGTGCTCACCGACAACCAAAACGGTAAGCAGACACCTCGAAGACAACATGCAAACATCTGTTAAGGGACGACAGATGCTAACTGAGTACAAGTGCCCTGAAGAAGCGGCCAAGACCGTAGAACTGGAGAGCAACGCCGTAGGAGCTAAACCATACTGGATGTTTCCACCGCAGGCGCGAATCCAAGCTGCGTGGACTTGGCAAATACCTACACACCGTCTGCAGAAAGGCCGAGTATCCCTGCTAACGCAGGCTAACTCCTCCATGTCTGTACACAATGTGGGCACATGCTCCGGGGGTAGAATGCCTGGTTGGGCACCTCCGCGTGACCGACACCGCTTCTTGGGATGAACTCATCCTCCCCCCATCGATCCGAATGAAGCAAGCGGAACTTGGTGACCCCAGGGCGCAGAACTTGAGCCAACAACGAGAAGGCCGACCAACTCACCCATTCCCATGACGCCTGTAGCTCCAATATGGAGCAAAATAGATCCGGTGCTTGGAACCCGAGCCCAAGTACGGTAATTGCAACAGCCGCTTGCGCAACCTGGCCTTCCAAGTGCTTGCGAACAGGCTAATTCCGTGCAGCACCTGTGAAGCAGACTTGACTGCCGAAACAATCTCCGGCCCTATTCCTTTTCTTCTTTATTCCGTACTTCCCAGTATGAGACCACGAGGCCGGACGAACGATACTCAGAAAGCCCGTATTATAGGCCGACCGTCGTCGAGGATGCTAACCGTATGCTTGCAGCATTAGACAACCCGTCTGAGCGAGCCAAACACGCCATGTCCACGCACAAGGAATTTGGGTTTCGTAAAAAACAGGTAGTTCGATTCCCAGACGCGCACATTTGCTAAACAGCAGCGTGTGCACATGTATGGAGACAGACAATTGAGTACTTGTTCTGTCACCGAAATCGCAAGCATAATGCGGCCAGAATGGAGTGTGACGAGCTAAATAGTCCCTCTAGCAAACCCTTTCGAGACCTTCGCTTTTAACCGCACAGAAACATGCATACACAGGCCGTATACGAACGCACTCTACCAGAGGATGTTGCCCTATTTGGTCCCTTTGGTTAGCAGTATTGAACTTCCTCCAAACGTTCTAAAACCGGTCGGCCCAGCTACTGCCGCCGCCCCTTCTGAATGCAACATCTGGGGCATAGTGACACCTGTTCCCCCTCTGAACTTGATCAGAGGTGTCTACTCAGTCATGACAAAAAGAAGTAGCCTGGTACTTACGAAGATGATGCCGGCGGAGACCACAGCAACATGATGACAACGAATCTGACCCCCACTTTGCTCGAGGAACAGTTCAACTAACTCCCCTTTATATTGAAAATCTACTAAGTTTACAATGTTAGGGGGCGCTCACCGATCGTTCATACGGAACTCACTCGTTCCGTTGTGCCTTAAGGGCTCTCTCTCGAGCCCAACCAGCAGCCGCACATGATATATAGGCAGAAGGATATTACCGACAAAGACAAGGGACACTGGAATGGCCATTTCTGGCTTATTAGCCGTCGTCAGCCAGCCATACCCAAGCCCGAAGTGTGGAACACCCGAGCCTCGAACTCGCGACCGGGCTCGTGGCCCGGTGAGTAGAGGCGTTGACTTCTAAACCAACAGGTCGTGAGTTCGAGGCTCGGGTGTTCCACACTTCGGGCTTGGGTATGGCTGGCTGACGACGGCTAATAAGCCAGAAATGGCCATTCCAGTCTCCCTTGTCTTTGTCGGTAATATCATTCTGCCTACTAAGTTTAGTCGGAAGCGGCAAACTAAAATGTAATGTCCGCATCTTAGGTAGTGACAACTTAACAAAAATTAAGACCTCTAACACCGGCCGATAAACCTCACGTGTCACAATCAGCGAAATGTTCTTAGGTACAATATCAAGGAAGCTCGTTAATAGAAACACATGATACTCTTTTTTAAAAAACAACGCTGTACAGATGGATATAGCGAGCATGAGGGAGATAGATTGACAGTGAGACAGGAGTAGGGGGGGGGGAGGAGTTCAAGTATGACCTCATCTGGAAAATCGACTGCCACCACGAGAAGAGGGTCTTCGGGTGGTGCTACGCCGCGAGACACCGCTTGGTGTCCAGAGATCGTCATCCTCCTCGTCAGATGAGACGGACTCACTGCTACTGCTGCTACTATTACTTCCCGAAGAGCCGCCTGTGTAAACACGCCGACGTCCCCGCACACGGACGCGTTGTTTCACGCGATGTGGATGGGAGGAGTCCTGTCGATCGGTTGCGCCACTGTCAATGTTGGTGGCGGTGGACGATGGAGATGGGCAGCGACGCTTCGCTGTGACTTTGAAGCGTCCAGATGAAGACATCCGCGGCTGCTGATCAAGATTCCCTCGTTTCCAAGGCTCCGTGCAAACGCCGCCGCCATCATTGCCGCCAGCGCCACTGTTCGGATGAACCGCAGTGCGGTTGTCGGCGGTGACTACAGGGTCCGGATCCGAGGACTGGCCGGCAGAGGGGGCTGCCAGAGACATAGCATTCAGAAATAGAGAGCGACCTATGGGACGAAACAGCAGAGCAGGTAGAACACTGGGTCTCTGACAGATGCTAAAAATCAGGCCATCCCGCAAACCGAAAACTCAGCCAAAGTATCAGGAGAAAAAGCCATCGGACGTCGCTTCCAGGCCTGAGCGGACCAAGTAATCCCGCTAGTTGGTGGCCTCCGATGCCGCGAATTTAAGCACGTCGCGTTAGCTTCAAGGGGGGGGGGACGAATTGATTATGGTGAGAAATGCGCTGAAGTGCCGTGGGAATAAATTTCACGGCGCCGACCTCACTCCCTCTTCCGTATCTTATGCCTCAGTCGGCTGTCTGAACGGGCCGCGGCCTGATGCTGTGATTGGATGCAAGTAGCTGAATGCGTTGAGTAGCCGGTCTACGCGTACCACACACGAAAAGGCCCCTGCACGGTACACTGGGCTTTAGAAAGCGTGGAGCATTCAATGAAAACAAAACAGTACAACGAAGCATTTACAGTAGATGTGCTAACTCATGAAATGTCAACCAAAATTTCGGAATGCGTTCTCGTTTCGAAAAGATTAATTGAGTAGGGTTGTAAAACTAATCATGATGCAGTCTAAATCTATTATGATCCAATTACCTTAGGGTGTCGGCTTTCGAAAGAACTTATTTTCGGCTGCATGCAAGATCTATACTCTGCAAAAAATGACTACTTAAGTAGTATGAAATTTTCTCATTGATTTTCGATGTCCTTAAAAATGCAATTATATTTCATGGAAAACATGCATAAAAATATTCATTCTTTTACTTGTTCGGTAGAAAATCACGTCCTCTTCCATTTTCATACTCAAAAGAAGAGTATAATTCGGTTTTAAAAAAGTTTCTAATTGTGAGATTTTTTAATACCGTTAAATGGCCGTTCATGAAACGTCATGTATCTGCATTTACGAATGCGACTTGTAAAGATAACAATATTGTTCAAATCCACTGCTTAATTTTATGAACCTCATATGGCCTCCTCTTAACATTGTAGAGAAATGCATGGTTTTCCGTACACGGAAAATATACAGCTTGTGGTTTTGAAACCCTGAATGCACGTATAACAGCAGGTCGGGTTCAAAATTATTCGGGAATTAGAAAGGTTTTTTTAAAACAGAATTATACTCTTCTTTTGAGTATGAAATCGGAAGAAGACATGATTTTCTATCGAATAAGTAAAAAAATGAATATCTTTATGCATGTTTTCCATGAAATATAATTGAATTTTCAAGGACATCAAAAATCAATGAGAAAATTGCATACTACATAAGTAGTCATTGTTTGCAAAGTATAGATCTTACATGCAGTCGAAAGAAAGTTCTTTCGAAAGCCGACACCCTGTGGTAACTGGATGATTATAGATTTATGCTGCATCTTGATTACTTTTACATCACTACTTAGTTTATCTCTTCGAATCAAGAACGCATTTCGAAATTTTGGTTGACATTTCATGAGTTAGCACATCTACTGTAGATGCTACCAGACGAGTGGATTCCGTAAAAACGATGAGTGAGCCAGTAGAAGCGAAGAGACGGTGAGCCCCCCTCTACCATTGCATAGTCCCCATCTCAGCCAATGGGACAACGAGCCCGTGGCTCAGTTGTTAGAGGTCGCGGGATCGAGCCCCATGTGTGACACACTTCGAGGTTGGGTACGACCGGCTTACGACAGCTAATGAGCCAGAAATGGCCATTCCAGTCTCCCTTGTCTTTGTCGGTAATCCTAGACGACAACCCTCTCCATGAGTTATAAGATAACGCCTTACTCGCCCGACTATATAACTATTTGCTGGAGATAAGCCTTACCTCGGTCGGATCGAGGTTTTACCTGCTCAGCAGGTGGAAGCCCCAGAAAATCGGATTCGAATGACCTTTCGCGACATGCATGAGGGCGCACAGGCTTCGAATGAGCAATTAACGCCTCAGACGTTACCGAGGTCAAGAGTGCAGCATAACTGCCCCACTCTCGTCACTTTTAGTGACAGGCGCCGATACCTTCAGCCATGACATCACATATATGTAGCAAATCGTCTCCAACCACAAAACTGACAATTCGACGATTTGAGATGGTGGACTATTGCACGGACTCAGCAGATAGCTCCTGTTGAGAAGAGATACTGAACAATGGCTACTGAAGTGAAGAAATGAGTAAGCATGATTGAGAAGTGTTATGAAAGGTCAGAGTCGGATGGACAGCGACACCTGCCCGAACGCCCCTCAAGGACTGAATGAAGTAATGCGGAAGCAGAGCATAGGGCCACCTCCAGAAAGAAAATTAAAAAGAGCCTACTGCTAACCATTCGTGTAAGCCGCATTGGAAGCGGCGGCGGCAGTCGTGGCGGCCATGGACGAGGTAAGAGTCGTTATGAGTTCGTAGTTCAGATCAATAGCTTTGTTCAGCTTGCTCGGATGTAGGGATGACTGTGGGGTAGGGGAATTGCCAGTGGTGCTGACGGCAGCAGCGGGAGGTGGGGCTTGCGTGGCATTTCTGGTGAGGTTTAGGGGCCGCGGGGCGATGGGTACGGGCGGCGCGACGCCCGTGAGGAGGCGCGCGAGGGGAGGGGGCGGAATCACCGCCGGGAGACTGCGGCTCTCTGTTGTGGTGGAAGAAGCTGACGATGGCGCAGGTGCTGAAGGTGGTTGGGGATTGGAAGGCGGTGGGGTGGATGCCGTCGCATTGGATTCCTCGTCTGAGCTTGCAGTCAGATCGACAAACAGGCTAGAACGCAGTGGTCAAAAGCAGAAAGTGAGTGTCGTCCAACGCTAGCAGTGCTAAAATGTAACAATCATACCGTCGAGCCCCAACATAAAAACTAAATCAGTAGACTGCTAACTGCCAAAGCCCGTGGTCGTTGCAGAAGTTACCGGCTGGCATTATCTGCGCTTGGAAGGACTTTTGTCGACGGCGCCTTTAGCTTTGTACGCAAGAAAAGACATGCGGAAGAAAATGCAAAACTCGTTGGTCATTAAAGAAGGATGGACAAAGGCAGCCTACTCTGTTGGTGCAGTATCACGGGCATCACGAGAAGACGTCGATTTCTTTGACGGCTCCTCATCAGTGACGGCAGCAGGAAGGGACGGAAGGCGGTAATCATTGAAGGACGTGGGATGTGCAAACGTTGGCTGCTCCGGTTGCGTTTTACTGCCCTCCCGGTCGTCATCATCATCGTCATCGTCGTCAATGAGAACGACACAGTCATTGAACTGAGAGAAATCAGATTCTTTTGACACCACCGGTCTGGACGAGAAATTCGACTCTAATTTGCATGGTGACATCGTAGTGGTCCCGTTCGGCAGCGAGGGAACAGCGGCGGTTGTCGGATTGTCGGACAGAATTCCTGAAGATGACTCCTTGGCGGAGACGACGGCAGCCGAGGAGTCACTTTCAGTGGGTTTGGAGGCTTCTCGCCAGTGTCCAGTGGCATCTACGTGGACCATTTCAGCATCCTTGAGACTCGGATCAGCCATCAGCTGGACGAAGAAGCTTAAAGAAATAAATGACGTAGGGGAAAAATAGAGAATGCAGAGTCCGCAGCATAATTGTGTACTTATGACAGCTGATACCACTGTCCCTTCAGAAAGACTGTAGCATGTTCAGGCTTGTGAGGTACTGCTCGACTTCGTGCATAAACCCGATTCTTCTTCCCAGGCGTCAAAGATTAGGTAGTAAGTTAAAGGTTACAGCGAGCAGCTTTTTGGTGTGCGGGATCATTCAGCAATGACCAAGTACGTGCCATAAGTTTCCTTCACGTCACTTCTCTCAATTGACATGCATTCGTGAATGCAAGCATATTAGTTGGGCGCAAATGCAATCGGCAAACAGTCCACTTGGGCACTCTTAAATGCGCTGAGGAGTACAAAATCTCGGTGATGCTGTAGACTCGAACAGGCTAGACCAGTATTGCTTTCAGCACAAATACAAGTACGGCAAGCAGTCATCTGCCTGACTTGCACATCGAGATTGCTCCTGACCTGTGAAGAATAATTCAAATGTCTTCTGCCATGAGCTGGCTGTGTGAAGGATCCTGTTTACTCTGTTTTTGCCTATGGCTAACTGGCGTCGTCTGCCATCTGCTGAATAACTAGGGATTAATTTGATTCCTCCACTAACTTGATTCGACTTAGGACCTGTTTTGGTTTGGCGTTTCACCACAGCCAGCATTGCCATTAAGCTCATAATAAATTCGAGTTTCATTATTCTACGTCAGCAAGCCTACACGAGGAGCAGGGAGGTGCAAATAAATAACTAAAGGGGCGGGTTTCAACCAAAATCCCCGAGTCTCCTTTAAGAGTTTGCGTCCATGACTCAATTGATAAGGCGTCTGAACGGCTGGCAAGCTGGCCGCAAGCTTCCGGTCTCATGTGACCCGCGGCAGACATAGGGCTGGATGGTTATGACAAAGTAGCTATGACAGGGCATTACGGCCTCCCTTCCTAACTAGTAATATTTGTGGATCGAAGCAAATCCGCGCAGATACAACAAATAATCTTGCTATTTGTGGCGCCAACTAGAGAAATTGGACGCGGAAGAGGCACTTACTCATCGCGTCGCAGATCGCGGAAGGGGGCAGGCGAACTGCAGACAGGACAGGACCACCGAGGACGCTTCTTGTTAATCGTCAGATAGGAGGACAGATCAAAGCACTGCAGATGGTCACAGTTCACTGAGCGCACAGGGATCTGCAGGGGAGACAGGGTTCATACATAGGACCATAAAAGGGCTCTTACCGTGCCCGCGGACGAAAAAAGGACTTGAAAAATGCATGGGAATAATGTGATAGTCGACGTCGTTTTAATGACGTATGAAATTATTTCTTTCTCTTAACTCTTCACCAACACGACATATCGTACTCATAAGCACACTGTTGATAAAATCATGGGAGATTGTGTTCCAGGCTCTTAATAATGCTCGCCTTAGGTTTTAGAAGTTACGTAGGTTATCCGCCTCCGTTAGTTCGTGACTAACATACTCTTGACCGGGGTTCAACTGTAGCTCGGAAACCGCCCATAGCAGAAAAACGCATGTTACGCACAACTGTGAAACATACAGTCTTCCGTCACGAGGTCACAAGGCGAATCTTGATTCGTCAAAGCAAATACTTAAACTCCATAGGAGAGAACGCTAGATACGTCTCATTACTCACTCCGTTTAGGCTTTCCGTATGTTTTTTGAGGAAGTGGTGGTAGCGCGCCTTTTTCGTTCAATGTCAATGCAGCGTAGACCGAGAAGCAAACGGATTTGCCTTAGTTGTTCGGATGAACAACTTATCTTCGATGTACGTTTTTCTCCCCAGAGGCTCGCTTCCCAGGGACTGCTTGTACTTCCCTGTTTCCTCATACCACCGAATTCATATTCGAACGGTCGAATGTCCACATCTACCAGCGCACTATCTCAGGAAATGCTAACTTAAATTCGAAAATGTGTTTTCAATTCCAGAAGATAGCTTTAGTATGGTTTTAATGTTAATTATCGTGTCACATAATGCTAAAATATTTCAGTCACGTTATGTCAGCTTTTGGAATAGCTTCTTATCGACCGGCTGCGCCAACTGCATCCCCTAATGTGACTGCTTAAGTAGCATGATTTTATCCCATTGATTCTGGTTCCATCAGAAGTGCGAAAAGGATTTCAAAGGTCTATACTTATTAGATTTCTTGAGACTGCGAAATTTACAATCGTACACCATCGCATGGGGATATTTATTCATGTTGCTTATAAAGCGGGCAACCTGGTCCACATAAATTACACAATTTTATGAGTCATACATAAACTCCTTTTAATAATGTATAGAAATTTAGGATTTTGCCTACACAGATAGTATACGGTTTGTGGCTTGGAAACCCTGAATGCAATTGTAACGGCAGGTCGGGTTCAAAATTATGCGGGAATTTAGAAAGTCTCTTAAGGCCGAATGATACTCTTTATTCAAGTATAGAATTTGAAGAAGTAATTTGCTACCGAACGAGTAGAAGGAGGAATATTTCTGTGCATGTTTTCCATAAAGTAAGTTGGAATTTACTAAATCAATGGGCAGAATTCGTGCTACTTAAGAAGTCACTTCTTACGGTCGATAGGGAGTTCGTTCGAAAGCCGGCATCCTGATGTAACTGAAATATCTATGTATTAGGCCACAAGATAATTAGTACTACAACCCTACCAAAGTAGTCATCTGGTATTGGAAACACATTTCGGAATTTCGGTCAACGTTTCATGAGACGGCATATCTACCTTATATACAGATGGTCTGTCAAAATGCTGCATCTTAGTTCGGTTTGATGGTTAACCGAGTCAAATGCCCATGTTTTATCATTATTAAAAGATGTCGCATTGGCATTGGAAAAAAATAACGTCTTTACACAATTAAGGCTGGCTTTGCACCAAAAACTGCTAAATAAGAGTGGCTGCTGGTGTTTCGCGGTCGGGTTCCATCGCTATCGCGTGCATGTATCATAACTTATCAAATAGAGTAGGCAATTAAGGTTAGAGGTTTTTTAGGATGCGAACCACAGCCATCTAATTAATTCCAACATTTAAATGAAAAAAATAATACAACACAACCAAAAGGAGGCCGTACGATGTTCTCCAGAGAACTACCATTTACACAAGAAAACACTGTGTGGTAAATTGTCCTTACCAAAAAGCAGCGCCAAAGGTCACGGTCGTGATACAGACGCTGACATCAATGGTTCAAAAGTATCAACAGAAAGATGGGGGAGTTCCATGACATTTTCCAGAGACCCACCTGCGGTCGGGTACGATAATATGGACCCCCCGTACTACAAGTGGTCTCGCATTAAACACCCGAGGGTACCTATACCCATGCCAAAACGTTAATCCTAACCCTAACACAGGCCTTAACCCTCCTAGCTCTAACTCTAATACTGATACTTATAGTCCAAGCCCTAATCTTCTCCATCCTTACCACAGCGCTAAGCCTAGCTCCCCTCGGAGTTATGGCAAAATCCATGTTCCCACGGTCGATCTTATCAGTTCGCTATTGTTTGGTGAACTCTTTTCAGAGGTCGCGGTCGAGATACGAACGCTGACATTAAAGGTGAAAAATTACCAACGAAAAGGTCCAGACTCACTTCGATACGCGTGAGAGTGAGGGGACAGAGAAGGGAGACAGGAATCCATTCGTCACATTGCAAATCATCCTCAGAGGTCAGTTTAGACTTCACCATTGCCTAAGAAAGGAGTACAAAATCCTTGTTATCTAAGACAAAAGTGGAAAATGCTACAAGTTAAGCGAATTTGGTAATTTTAGAAATTGTCCAGACTCAGATAGTCAAAACAAAGCAAAGGAACAACTGGCGGTAGATCTACCCTTTAATGAAGACCTAGGTTTGTTTTTTGGCGTCATTAAACGGGAATTAGATATTGGCGGCAAACTATTCGGTAGCAAAGATATGCTCCGTATTCGAACCACTTCAGCTTCAACATAAACGGATTCCACGATTCCAACATGTCATGTAATAAGTATCTGAAGCTGAGAAAGCCGAACTCCACACAGCACTGCTAGCCAGAGGTCAACAGAAGTTCGGGCCGCTGAGGAGAACCTCGAACAATGGTCAGATTGATCCTACATCTGCATACAGTCCTGCAGTCATCACGATACCTGAAAATTAAAAGTACCCTATTGCTGTTACGTGCTCTGTTCCAACTGTCACCTCTGGCGATCGACTTCTGCACGAGATCGTAAGCCCGCAAATAAGGCGAATGGTTTCTGCACTCGACCAGTCTCGAACATATGGCTGGGACTCGAATAATATTTACGTCCATCTATATTTCGTACTGATATTTTGATAGTAGACATAATGTTTACGAATCAAAAAGGCGCGGAGAAGTACTCACCAATGTCTCAGATGCCGCGATCACGCGATCGGAGCACCTACAAAAATCGTACACCCCCGCAAGAGCTTCTGGGGTCTCCGGCGGTAAGTGTGGAGGTTTGCAACCAAGTGGAGGGTCTGTGACTGGCTTCCCAGCAACAGCCGACGAAAACATGCGGACAAACTCCGGTATGGGCTGGACACGGTCCAGGGTGACTTGAATAAGGGGGAGGTTGAGTAAGTGATTGAGGATGGGAGTGCAGGACCCGGAACCGACCATTTCAAGCAGAGGTAGGGCGTGGTCCTCCAGAGGGGCGTGCAGCCAAGTCAAGTCGATTTCAATACTCCGATCGCGAACCGATGAGTTCGATCGAACGGGAATCTGAAAGGGCGCAAGGTGATCATAACCAGACCGTAAAAATGTCGCTGTTGACTGGGTGTTTTGATAAATACAACTTCGATTAACCTATAAGTGTAAAACTTATAACCTTTTGTGGTTCCCTGAACAGTCATACCCTAAATTGGGGCCAGGGTAGTCGCAAGTGGGGAGTAGTTGTGGATTCCAGCCGCCGTTCGGGAGTCACTCGTTTTTAGGTCACCAGGCCGAACAGGTGCCCTGAAGGCAGCTGCGCTACCCACCATTTGCAGATACGACGGAAAAGTTACACTTCAATCAAGGGTTAACCCAATTTTCTCACTGGTCCAGTTTTATCCGGCACACCTAAAAAAGATTCGATCGTAAAATTGAGCATATAAACCCGGTACCATGGCCTCCGACCTATCCACGTTTAAGAGGAAAATCGGGACCGGCATGTTTAAGAGCGCCGACAACGTGCTTACAAAAACTAGCCCTTAAAGTGCCTGAAGGCCGTGTCTGGGTCGCTAAAAGAAGCATGCGAAACCAACGCATTTCAGAAAAACAGCATGAAATCAGTTGTGTGGAGCAGGTGAGTGAACATATGCCGCCCTGAAAATAGTGCGTCAGCACCCAAACAATACGACCAAAGGATGCCACATCCAAAATCCAAACGTGCAAATCCACACAAAGATGGAGGTCCGCCATATAGCCTGCTTAAGGAACAAAGTGCGGAGTGGATAGCGGGTGAGCCGGGCCTCCCAATCGCGAACGGACACTTGGAATCGCAGAACAGAATGTGAGAATACGCCTCGACCCTGATGCTTGAAACCTAACGACGTGCAGCCTTGGTTAGCACAACGCAGTTCTCTGATGCCTTTCCAAACTTCGAATCCGTGACCCAAGATATCGGAAAATCGACAACCCAGGAGTCAGAACTTCATTTTGCTTCCGAACACCGCGGTTCACGCGACTCATCTGGTAGAGGATGTGCCGATTGCCCTGTCAACAAGTAAACCATGACAACTAGTCGATGACCAGCTAGCGTACGTACGACTGAAGGCGCATTCCACTACGTGTCAACAAAGAAACCCTCTACCTTGAAGAAGGAGACACGATCGCCGGGACAAGACCTTTATTAGCCTGACGAGCTGATCGATTACTCGCATACATGGATCGATCAGGCTCGAGGGGAGCAGCCAATGACGAGGCGCCACGATCATGCAGACAGCGCGCTAGAGAAAACGCTCGTGGCCTCCGGTGATTGGCTGGCCCTTGTTTTTGGGTGTAGGCACTCCCAACACCTTGCTTAATTTCCGAGGAAATTAATGCGCGAACTTGGAGTAACTCTTTTGAAACAGGCCTTTTCAGGCACGGTCCGAAATTTGATATGAATATTTGAGCTGAAAACCATCAGCTACTGCGGAATAACCGCTTAATATTCACAAACCGCCAACAGGCAGCCAGTAGTATAGCACAGCACAGCCGCTAAGCCGGACACATAGAAAATCCTCCCTACTCAGATAAAGCAAGTAGAGATGGGGACGTCCAGTAATTTGCTTTTCTTTCCGACCCGAGGATGCAAAGGTCCGCACCCCAGCAACCAATTCTGGAGAAAAAGGACCCAATCAACCAGGAAAAAAGCGCATTTTTCCGACATCTCGAACTCCTCCATCATTGGGAAGTGTAAAATGTGCCTGCTCTGTCGTATTGATATCAGTCAGTCGAGCGAGGTTAGTCCCACAGTCCCGCAAAACACCTCAACGACGAAAAAGGAAGTGTGCCCAGCAGATGACCGCACATACACCCGTCCAGATGCCGAACCACCAACTGACCGGACTATGCCAACTAGGTACAGAAAACAGAATTGGTGGAATTTCTATTCTCTGATGATGAACCGGAGTGTGACTTCGAAACGCCGGAAAGTGCATCCCTCTTCCCGGTGGTTAAAATATCTTCTTCTCCCTCTTCAACCCAGCAGACCTGAAGGACTAAGCCCGCCTTATTTTAATCGATGATCACCTTCTTGTAGATTGATCATAGCATCGGAGCACGGGCGGACCCCCAACTGACGATGGACGATCTGATAAGTCCAAAAGCTATCTACTTTTCCGTCATTCTCTTATCGTTCATGTTTGTGAATGCATTACTTTACCAGTATGAGTACGCAGACAGATAATAAATCATTCCACCCTAATAAACTGTTTCTACCCTCGACTGATGTTTAATCATCATCACCTATTCCGTGTGTCTGCTCTCGGGTACCTGAAAGAACCACCAAGGACCGAATTCTGTGACAAAGAAACGGGAGTGATACCCTAACTCGAGTGGTTCCTGATTACCCACGCCCCAGATCAGCAGGAGGCTACACACTTATGAATGCTTAAACTGAACAAACCAGGGCATGCAGTGGACGGGATGGAAAATAAAAACAACCTTGTCAGTGATGTCGATTGCAAATCGAAGACGATGGCCCAATTTTTGTGCCTGGCCGCCATGAAAGATGGGATCGGGAAGGGTGACATTGCGACGAGCAACTCGGACGGAGAGACAGCGAGGTAGCACTTCACAGGCGAGAACACGAGAGGGATTGGACTTGTCACGTGGCATGTAAAGTCCAGTCGTAGCCCAAGCCAGTCGAAGAATGAGACGGTACTTGTCAACGCGACTGGAGTAAAGAGACAGAAGAGACTGACGAAGAGGCAGCAAGTTTAACTATCGAAGGGAAAACATGTCATTCTGAAGGGTAAGGGTTAGCTATTTGATAGTTAACCGGAGCCTAGGTTAAAGTACGAGTGGTTGAAGGAATTCATTGCTTAAAAGGTTGTCGGTGAAACGCGTTCTCATCCGGCGCATCCGACCAGCGACTGTCAGGAAACAGAGTTTGATCAGTGATTTGCAACTTTGCAACTAGTGAGTAAATATAATGAGATGCAAACTCAGTCGATGATTATGAGATTTGACGTGTAAGAGATGCCCACATAATACAAACGTGAAACATCTCGAGTCTCAGTCTACACGGTTGGGGTCGCAATGTAGTTTTGCAAGTAAAAAAAGTTTAGGCGATTTTAAATGGAAGCATTTAATGTGTCTGCTCATTGGATCTCAGGACAGCTGCTCACCCACATGGAAAGGCGTTTCAAAATAACAAACATGAGGTTCGCATTGACGACGGAAAGTGTGGGGACATTGCGCTATATTCGTGGCCCTTCTTTATAAAGTAGAAACACCTCGCTACTTAAACTGGAGTTTGGAGAGGCAAATACAACCCACTTAGCAACTTAAAAAAAAACATTGACAACGATGAACAATATCGCTAAACCCCATTTTGGAGCTGTGGCGAAAGACTACTCGACGAGGATGTTTGACGTCAGGTGTAGCAAAGAATGTAGCGTACGGGAGGACACCCACCAGAACGAACGCCCCATCTGCCAATAGAAATATGAGTTTGACCAAACCGATCCTACAAATTTAAAAGCAGTTTAGCCTTCCAGCCCTTCTCAGGACTCTTCATCCGAATTCCTTCCTAGTAAACGCATGAGCGAGTCTGATCTTACTAAACTGACTGAGCACCCATTGTTTTCCAATTAACTCTGCCAATGACTAACTTGTATTCCGATATGTCTAACTGTTAGAAGCATGTTCGAAGGTAATCAACTGGCAGTTTCTGGCCTTTTCAAGCTTCCACAAGAGGTGATCAAAGAGAGGGGGAAAATACTCTTGTTTGCCCTAGAAGTCCTCTGCGGACTGGTAGGATTCAAAACTACTATGGTGCAAGATTCTAAGTCGTTAGGTAACTATTTAGCTGCGCTACCGATTTATTTAAAAGAAAAGTAGGATGCTCAACGATGATGAGGAAATAAATGAACAGGCACAAAACGCAGACGCACCTATTCGGTTGTCGTGACTGATCCACCAGAAAGCGCATTGTATTGATGTCGAGTTCAAGGGTGAAACTGTAGGTCAGGTAGTCAGTGTAAAAACCCAGGGAGGCGGCATTCGGTTTGGCACCCGAGAGGATGGCCAGCAGGGGGATACTTGTTACCTTCTGATCTGCCAGATCTCGCAACGTACGGACCATGTTCTCAGGATCGGGGTATTGAAAGAGGACATTGGCTGGGGAGGCGAACTGTACAGGCCGCAGGAGGGCGACGGGTCGCAAAAAGGGGGACTCCGAGTAGATGCCAAAGGCATTGTTTGCGGAGAAGAGGGCGGTCAGGGCCTTTAGAGTCATTTGCTCAGCCTCAGTGCGCCGAAGGGGGAGGAACTGGTAGGTTAGGGCAGAATTGGGCGACCTGGCCAAACCTGCGGGCGAAGAAACAGAAAGTTGCAATCATTTGGCGCACCCAATACACGCCGGGGGGCAAATATCGGTGGTCCAAGAATTGATTTCCTATCCTGAAAATGGAAAATGTTCAGGTGTGGGTAAGAGGTGAAGAATTGGCGACTCATTTCATAAAGTGTCGCAAGCAACGACGTCCTCCTAGTGCCCACGAAGTCGCCGAAGCGTGGCAGGACAATGTCAAAGCGACCGGAGGTGTGCTCGAACGCAGCGACCGACCAGGGAAAGCAGCGTGTTACACACGACCTTGTCCCCACATCCGTAAGCGCGACTGGGATCTCCAACGGGTGGTCACATAACAAGCGCGTCATTTCTGCATGATACTCGGTCACCACCAAAAGGATCAAGCTGCCCCGTTTGTAGACGACCTTCCAACTTAGCGCGTCAGGTTTAATAAGGCGACGAATGCGCTGGTCGGGTGGATGCCCCAGTCTCGGCCCCACTGGAGACGACACATGGCACGCACAGTAATCTGCTGAACCCATGACTCTGCCTAATACCGCTATTCGAACTTCAGCGTCCGTCAACGTTCTCACAAAAGAGTTTGCCGATGGGCAAAAGAATAATTAGAGGAGAAGAATCAATAAGAAAACCGCAAGTCTGGGTACAGAGAGAATGATGGAGAGTGCAAATGCTAAAGGCAAAGGAGGGAGGAGTTACTCACCGATGGCGTAGTTGATGAATCGTCTTGGACTGACGGCACTCGGGTTCAGTTTAATAGACGGATCACCGTCAGGCTTCAGTTCCTTGGGTGCCTCGTTGTTATCTATGACGCCGGTGGCTGCCTGTTGTATGGCAGCAGGTAGCTGGAAGCCGCTGATGGCAGACACGTTGACAGTTGGCAGGCGGATGAGGGGGTTGGTGGCGGCGGCGGCGGAGGCGGTGCTGTTGGTTGCAAGAATCTGATTGACAGTCGATCTCACCGCCTGGTAGTTGGCAGTGTTTGTCACCGTAGTGAAGTAAAAGTTGTTGTACGGTATAACGCCACCTACAGTGACAAGAGGTGAAAATAAGGAGTCGGTTATGGGGTGGCAGAGCATACTTCTTCTCTACGTACAGGCCTGCAAGTTTTCAGACGACCTCGTGGGCAGATTATCCAGAACACGGTCTGGTGCGTTACCGAAGATTATTCATTCAAAGAATACCACTAAACGGACAGGAAGATGCATCTATCACCATTCGGTAGACGAAATTGGCACATCAACTGACTTAGGGAAGTCCAAAAAAGCGGACGATTTTCATCAACACCTCTCGAGTATGCTACTGGTATTTGTAATGTCCCCCATGAGAATTACTTTGGCAGGCTCAACCAAGGATCTGCGATTTAAGGCTAATCCCACAGCGATTGCTGTCTATTTGGCGCTCCGTGTTCAGGCGCAGAGCACACTCAGGTCAAGAACCTGGTAACCAAGGCGTCGCCCTCTGAAGGTGTCTCCTATAGTCGCGCCCTACTCAAGGTTTGTCATCTGAAGTCGCATTATTTTCTGGGAGAAGGCGTTGGGTAGGACAGCTCTGGCCTCGTACGCCAGGGGCTTTGGCTTCTGCTGAAACTCGGGCTGAGAACTCACTGACTTTGAACGAGGTGAGAAAGTAGTCTGAGCCAGTTGTACATGGCGTCTCATTCCATCCTATCACTTTATGAAAAAGGAACAAAGACAGGCGAAAAGGCGGGTTATTCTTAAGCATCCAAGCGACCGGGGTCCGCAGGTTGAGACCGTTCAATACTGTATCGAGAGGAATGTTCCTAACACACCGTTCAACTTGCAGACAGAGTTCTTCCTTACCTTGGCAACTCCGAGCCACTAAGGTTCGTTGGCCACAACTACCAGTGTCGTACACAGTAGTTACAGATGACGGGTGAGAGCACACAGACCCACCTGACAGCAGGCGTCTTCTGTCAAAATAATGTGATTGATCTCCAATTTGTCGACGCACAGACATCCGATTGACACAGCGCCTGCTGTAGCAAGACGCGACATGGGTTATCTTTGCCCGTACATCATTGGAAGTGTTAAAAGCACTTTCAAGACAGTCGTGATGAAAACGCTGAGACTGATGTCTCTGGAGTTCAGACGTTTCGCTAACTCGGTTTTGGAGAAGTATAGGAAAACATAACTAACTTCCAGGGTAACATCTGACAGGAGGGACTAAGGCTGAAGTAGTATAAACAACCAAATTAGACAATTCGTTCCAATCTCAAGGAAGTCGTTTCGGAAAATAAGAATCAATACTTGGTGCATAATTACGGTGACGAGGAAGTGCGATACGATCTGTGTTGTTGGAAGACGGGAATTCTGGGCTCGAAATGTGGACACGGCGACATCGCAGAAACAGAGTTAAAGACCCGAATAAACGCCGCCCGTAAACGGTTGACACTTCACCCAAACTGACTTAGGATGCAAACCTGCTGGACAATGAAGCGGTAGAAACGACCGAAATTTTTCAGCGAAAAGTCAGTTTTGGTCGTGTAGTGAGTGATCACTTTGTAATGCGTACGGAGTGAAAGTCCGACATTTACAAAAACGAAAGCTGCCTTTAAGGTAAGAGGACCACGTTCTAAATTTAAGAAATAGATGGGTATTGGTGGCTTCGTTTAAGGCGGTTGCCTCCTCGACAGAGAAAGTCTTCAAGAGGTCAGTAGCAGCTGTTGATACCTGTTGCTTTAGCTGGCAGGCCACGCGGCCATTCGCCGGGTGACTCCATTTCACTTACATTGTGTTTGGCAATAAGCACCTAGTTGCAGGGATGTCAGTAATGAAACCCACTAAAGGATCGATGACTGGCCAACGAAGACAGTTTGAATCATCGACTTTGGGCTAAAATTTATGCGCGAACAATATGACAGCTCGACCGTCGTATCCAACGATTCCCACCGTGCGCATCACAACAGTGGGCACAAGGACGGTGACTTGCGCGTGAATTGGTTAATAGTGATAAGACCTGCGGCGCATTTGACGCACTCGCCCTTCTGCGCCGATGTCAAAACAGTGAAGACAGGAGACGGAGTCGGGCGCAGATGGCCGATGCGGCGGGAACCTGTGCCTAGGAGTACCGCCACACTCCCACACATGGTATCTGCGATGGGAGCACAGCTCAGTAACGCGTGCCGGATCCTGATCTGACCTCCGTGTTGGTCCAGCAAGACTTCCGCGTGGCCCGTTATAGGGGGCTAACAAGATACAAGCTAACAAACTCACTGGGTGGGATCTAGCAAGGGGTCAACAATCCGAGTGATTGAAAACCAAATTTGGGAAAAAATCTGGTGTATAAGTAAAAACTATGCTAGGTAAATCGTACGCTATCCGCCTGCTTTTGCCGCTTCCCAATCTGTACACAGTACAATTAACACTAGCTACAACCTTCCTGCCTCGGTTGGATTGTGTGCGGCCATAAAATATGGATCAAGACTGGGTTGACATGGATTAAGGCACCTGGAGACGGTATTACGGGTGTAAGTTGAAAATCAAAAAGTCCTTTACGTCTTTGAAATCGATAAACTAGTCTCTCAGGAAAACAAGGTTGCAACCATTCACGGTCATAATCGTGCTGCCCGCAGGCAAGCGCGGTGCAATGAGCGCACATTTAGAGGCGAAGGCGGTGTGTTTGTGCGACACAAATATTAACCAATTGAAGAGGCTCTCGCTCGCGCCTGTCTGTCTCACGATTCGTTAAACGATACAACCAATCGCAGCGTCCCCAGTCTGAGCGACATACGGACAGACGCGAACGCGCTTGGCGAGCTGTCTGCCTCACAAAAGCGCCAACGTAGTGGCGACTTTTGCAGGATTATCGATCGTCACGCAACAACCACCTTAACGGAGGCGCTTATGACGCAGCGTCCGTTAACTTAACCACAGAATCTGATAAAGCGGTGATATATGGACATCGGTATCCACCACAATAAAAGTTTTAAGCCACTTAGTTTAATACTAAACTCGGTTTCTTGGACGGGGCGAAAAATGGGTGCGCATTGGTATAAGCAAATCAAGCCATTTACTAACCGAAATCGATAGCCGGCATGGCTAGGACGAACTGAACCTGACAGTAAATGAGACCTCAAATAGTCCAACTACCGTGAAACCACTGCGACCTAATGGCATAAGTTTCAATGGGCATCACGAGGCGGTAGATGAGCCCAAATATGTGCCTGGAAAGTCGAAAATTCTTCCACAAAAATAAATGAAATTCGAGCTATTACATCACTTGCTATCTTAGTAATGGGGACTCTCGACGATTAAGCCCAAAAAATCATTTCATTCTGATCCGACTGTGACAAACTCGGGGACCTCGGCGGGATTCGAACCTACTGCCCTACATAACACTGAGTGGAGATGCATGGTATGGACTAAGACGTGCATCCGACTGGCCAATGCGCAAACCAACTTACGTGGCAGGTGCGACGCGGACGTCTGGGACGACGCATCAGACGAGTCATTGAAATGCCCTCATCCATCTTGCGTGGGCGAGCAGATGTGACGCACATATTCTATTCCCCGTTCTTGGGTGGCCCAACGTGTCCAAAATGTGGTCTTAACAAAGCCTACCCAGTTACAGTTGGTAATGTGGGTGTTTGTCAAGGCAACGGCAGTCACGAGTGTATGTTTGACCAAAAACGTAAACAGGAGAGCTACTGGCTACTTATAAGGCTACCGCGCTGTGGTAAACCGTCGAGTACATGGGAAAGGACTCGTAAGATTCTCTGCGTCCAACGTCCTTGTCGCCAAAAACAGCAGTTTTTGCACTTCAGTAATCAAGCACAGAGAAGTACCAACAAAGACTAAGATGGCCAGACATAGGCAACCCCAGATTTGTATGGCCTGAGATTGGAACTCGAATATTTTGGTCATCGAGTGTCATTAGATAAGACACTCTACCATTGACCTAGGGGTGTAATCTGTCAGGTGGGATCGGGAATATTAAGCATGGCGGAGGGCGTTCACGTGGCATGCTCGTCTCACTGCCCCCTGGCATCCAATCAATAATTCTCAAGAGCAGTCGTATATCGACCAGCTATGACGCAGGATGGAATACGGACAAAGTCAAGAGAGATTGGAATAGGCATTGATGGCTCATTGGCCGTCGTCAGTTGGCCATATTTAACCCCACGTTTGGGTGACTTGGTACTGAACGCTAACTTCGGTCTGTTGCCAACTGAGTAGTTCTGTGCAACAAATCTGGGGTGGAAGTGTCTCGAAAAACGCACAGTCTACTGCATTGTCTACAGACAGAAGGGTTCGTAACCTCTATAGTACATATATTATACCAGGTCGAAACCGACAGGCCGGGCCCGTGGCTTAGTGGTAAGAGATTTAGACTTCTAACCAACGGGTCGCGGGATCGAGCCTCAGGGACTGCAAAACCCGGGGTTGGGTGTGGCTGGCCGATGACGACTATTAAGCCAGAAGTGGCCACTCCAGTCTCTGAATTTTATTCTGCCAACACTACTACCTGATGTGAGGCTGCTAGCACAGCCCAGCATCCGCTAAAACGACTATTTCAGGGGGTATGCAAACAGAATTAATGCAACGACCACCCTAAGGAAGAGGAAGAAGACTAGTCGACCACCGGAAATATTTGTTTACTTATTTGAGCTTTTGAACTCCTGTAGGAATCCATCGTCAAAGATAAAAGCGACAAGAGAATAAACGACGGTTATAGGGAACAATAGCCAATCAACGAGCAGCGACGTAGGCCTGAGATTGGCTGCGCGGGACCGGTGCCAGATCGGTACATCAACTGACTGAGTTCGCATCCAGGCCCCAGGCTTCAGTCAATTTCCGGCAGGCACTGTTCCCCGCGTGGGCGGTTATCTTGGTGGCTGCGAGGTTAAACTCGTGTGGGTAGACACTTGATATCTTGTCAACCTGTCACGTAGTCAGTTTATGTTCGTGTACGAGCAGATGAGAACTCAGTCAGTCGACGTATTGATCTGGCGTTGGCCCTGCGCAGTCCCCGACAGACCTGTGGAACTGGTCGTTGATTGGCTGATACCCCAATAACTGCCACTTGTTACGTTACGACTGTTATCCTGCACGGGTTGGTCCCGATGATCGACCGGTTTTTTCCCTCCTTGTCCATACATACACACCTGGACTTCGGACATTCACCATCGTTCATTCAAATATCGACGAATAGTCAAGTAATCCTGGGATACTCACGTAAGAATAGGCAGCATGACAATACGCTGTGAGCAGTAGTAGAAATCTTCGAAACAAGGACACAGGTATGAACGGAATACCGTGGTATAGAGGAATTACGTTAAGACCACCCAACCGTCCTCAAACAACGTGAAAGTTAGCGTTTTAACCGTCGTACATACTTTAAAAATAAACAGTACATGATTTAAGCGCGTTACTCTCATGGACCTTCACTCGCCTTTCCAAAAAAACTGCATCTTCAGTGCCAACGTGAATCCGTCCCACAACCTCATGAACGGCGATCACAAAGGTGACTGAGCGTATTGCGTTGGCTTCGAAGGCAGAATTAACTAATTCAAAAGTAATTTCTGGCCGGCTTATACAAAGATTTATTGGGAGGATTAGTAGTCGAGTCATATTTTAAGGAATGTCGTCAGTTCGCGAAGCAAAAACTGTGAAATCGCCTCAAGCGGACGATGGAAGTTCGTTGGGATTGACGTGGAAAAGTGGAAACCCGTGTTTGCGTTATGCGGAGCTGAAGGGTAAGTAGAGCGTTACAGACAACCCACCGATTATAGGTGAATAGTCTAGACCGTCGGCCGCGAAAGCGACGCCACAGGCAAAGTCGTTCTACGAACGGATAGGCCCTAGGTCCACTGAACAGTGTTTCACTCGGATCATTAAAACTAAAAGCGTTGTTTATCTTCCTGCGATTTATACAACGTTTTAAAGGATGGCGTCTGTGGGCGCCTTTGCCATAACCGACAGGTCGTGTGGACAGGCCAATGCACGATCAAACCCAGGCCTGTTGTTGCTGCTGCCGCTGCCAACGATGACTCATCGGGTAGGGAGTACAAAGGCCGCTCGCTGATTGGCATACAGTCAACCAATGCCCCTTGGAGAGGCGCGTCTGTGGCCAACGCCAGATTAATATTTCGGCTGGCGCTAGCCACTAGACGCTATCGTAAACGTTTAGAGTACGGTCTATCTCACAAAGAACTTGTAGTAAGTAATAAATAAGCCTATGACCTCTGGTATCTTAACTTTAGAAATAAGAAAGCCTGATGTCTGAAAGATTTTTCAATGTCATCGTTCGCGGAATGCATATTGTCCACCGAGATTACGTATAAATGGAGTAAAACTTCCAACAAACCGACAGACAGACGCACCCGGCTCCACAATGTCATCTACACACTGAATTTTTCTGACAGACATGTACTATATAATTGCTCAAACTTCTGTGCTCTCAGGACCTGCGGACACGACAGATGCTCGTTAGAAAAACGCCAAGGAAAAAGTACCCCGTGACTTTAATAGACGACTGGAAAAAGAGTGGTAGAGGAATTCCGTCCACAATGTTTACTCTAAAACGACAAAGGTAACGATTTAGAGCGTTCTGCTCCAAGGGTGTTGAGGATCCCCTTTAACATACTTTAGCAAAATGCCCGCTCCATGCTTGGTTTTGGTATGATTTAGCCCTTCATCCCAATTCTAAAACTACGGCGTTCCTACACAACTTTCTGCTCACAAATGACCCCTATATTTTTCTAACCATCGACATCCTCAACTTGGTTCACGTAGGGCTAAGTGTTTGTTGATCGTCTCCTGTCTACTCGAAATTCAAATCGCTCATAACTGTTCGAATAAATAACAAAGCTAGACAGTGGTAAATAGCAAGTGGGCCTTCCCATCAAGTCCTCTGTATAAAACACTGTTGGCTGTTTTCTACATTACAGAAATCGGGCAATTTCTTCCCTGTTTACGATTGATCATATTTCTCAAAGCCATTTTCACATTCGGAGGCTTGAAAGCATTTTACCATAAAATGCTTTAATCTTTTAACCATGCAGGCCAACGTTCGTTGTAAGTTTTTCGAATCACCGACATATCTTGTCCAGAAAGAAGACCAAACTGGCTGCTAAACAAGGGGGTCATACACTCGAACCTCCCCGACCTATGCAGTAGTCGAATGGCTGTCATAATATGCGCGTTTATGCGGCTTAAAAGCCCCCATTTCCCATAACGTTAAAAATCTAGACAGAACGGCACAATCGACAAAGACAAGATAGACTGGCGCAGCCACTCCTGACCTATTAGCCGTCGTCAGCTAACCATACCCAATCCCGAAATGTGGGACATCTGGGGCTCGAACCCGCGACCCGTAGGAGTTCAACGACTCTAATCACTGAGCCACGGGATCGTTGTCCTAGTCGCAGGATCTCTCACAAAACGGTAACCAAACTCCCATTCCACTTAAAAAGTGCGAAATGTTCAGCCTGCAGTTTCTATAAAAGTGAATTTGAAAATCGCGCACAAGATTACTTCAGAAAAATTCCCTGTCCTCTAAGAAAGAAGTGAAATGACAAAAACTGTGATAAGTTGGTCCGTGTCAAGGAAAATTTTAGTCCCGTAGGGTATAGAACGGTCATACCTGGTAATCGACTGTCCGAATTAGACATTGCAGGCACGTAGGCATGGCGAGGAATGACTTGGTTCGGCGTTGGTCCCTTGAAGGAGACTCGGGGATTTTGGCTGAAACCCGTCATCAAGTTATTTCTCTGGCCTTCTCGGCTCATCCCGCCGGCCTGTTCGACGTAGAAAAAAGAAAACCGAACTTATAAAGGGAGTATGCGGCAGTGGCAGTGACGGCTGTAAAGAGACGTCAATCGAGACGGTTAAAGAGACTCAAAGAAGCTACGGAGGGCTTCTCGAGAATCGAATCAGATGAGAAATCAAACATCATTCAACATGTGGCAGATGGCGCTAGCTAGGAATATGCGAATGCAGGGCGAGAACTCCTCAAAGTATGAGCAGAAACCTGTGACAACCTGATCAGAGTAAATGATACAATAAGTCCTTTCAGGACAAGATAAGTCTCAAGATGAAAGTCATGCTGATGCCTGCTCGTGTTACTTGTGTTGGTTAAAAACAATACTAGCCTAGTATGCTAGGGTCCAAAGCGTCACGGACCAGCGCATCGTATTCGGTACGACCGATGGCCAGGCCTTCGAAGACCGTTGTCCAGTTGAAGTTCCACTCCCAAACGGTAAATTCTCTTGAGGTATGCTATGATTGTGTTTGTCCATGGCGATAGCGCACGCTCAGTCAGAGATGGCGTCGAAATTGAACTCGCCTTCCCGACCAACAAATAGAGGGATCAGGGTCTCGACAGATCTGGAGGGGAGGTTGCACGGGACAAATGCTAAACGTCTCTGTTGCGAAGGCAGTAGGGATTAACGCGGTCGTTGTTGTTGTTGTTCAATCAATGTCCTAAGTTATGCATACGGACACCGCCACCGCCATGGACGCTAACAGATTTTGTATTCTGTTTGTCAACTGAACTGGTGTGGCTTTCCTGCTCAGTGATGGGTGGGTAGCCTGGGAAAACGGAATGAGATCTTCGAGTAAGGGTGTGGGCGTCGCTTGATGAGAATTACCGACAAGGGAGACTGGAATGGTCACTTCTAGCTTGTTAGCCGTCGTCAGCCAGTTATACCCAACCCCGATGTGTGGAACACCCGAGGCTCGAACTCGCGACCTGTTAGTTAGAAGTCCACGCCTCTAGCCACTGGGCCACGAGCCCGTTGTCCTGTCGGTTTGCGATCGGGAATATAAAATGGCAGAGGCGCCCATCGATCGTTCTTAAGGAACTCACTCGTCCCGTTGTGCCTTACGGGTTCTTTCTCGAGCCCAACCAGCAGCCGCACAGCGGCGCACGATACAGGCAGAATGGCATTACGACATCTTTTCTCCTCTGGAAGCAAGCAGTCAGTCAGATACGGTTTCTTCTCAGCATTATCAAGTCATATGCGAGCATGTTGAGGGTTCCACCGAAGCAGATCGACCCCCTCAACAAGTGGATCAAATTAAGACTACTAGCTGCTCTTCTTCAGTAGAAATGGGCCAAGAGGAGTGGGCCATATACCGTCACTGACCAATCTACTGAAATTTTAACCGAATTCTGGAGTGGCTCTACGACTAAGAAGGATTACTTAAGTGGTTTGCAACATTAACTACCGTGCAGTATAACCCCAAGATATTTGAGACAAAACAGGATTCTGGCTTGTGAATGCATTCCATTCCCGCCTCCTGTGAAAACTGCACACGGTAGAAGATGACTACGTAAGAAGTGCGATTGTTTCTATAGATTTCACGATGTCCTTATTGTTATGCTAACTCATGCCCTGGTGAAGTTCCATTTTACCAACCAATGTTCTATTCCTAGTTTTAATTCCCGTACGTCAATTGCAGGGATAAACAAGGCCCTATTATAGGGTGATCATTCTGATTCCTGCATTCCCTTTTGTTCGTGCTCTCCCTCTCGCGTGTTTGCTAGGGTTCTAGCTACAGCACTTATGAATTCAAGTATATTTCATGGAAACATGTGCAAAATATTCTTTTTCGTGCACATTTGGTGGGAAATCACTTTGTTCTCGAATTTTATATTCAAAATGGAACGGCATATTTAGGTTTAAAAAAGGTTTATAAACGCGAGATTTTTAAGACTGCTCCCCGGCAATTCATGCAGCATCATATTCTCATGAAGTATGCAACATAGTCCACATCCATAGCAAAATTTTATGAGCGCTATAAGGAAAAATGCATAACTTTCCATATAAGAAAAGTATGCGGACTTAACATCCTAAATGCAAATGAAACGACAAATACGGCTCAAAAGTATTCGGAAATTAAGATTTTAAAAACCTAAATATACCCTTCTTTTGGTAAAAATGTTAAAACTAATTGATTTGCTACCAAAAAAGGGTATAAGAAAGAATATTTTGCGCATATTTTCTATAAAATATATTGGAATGCATGAGGGCATCGAAAATCAATAGAAGACAACCACCCTACTTCAGTAACCACTTTCACCGAGTGCGGTTTTTGCAGGCGAACGAAAAAAGTGCAAAAACCAGTATCCTGGGGTGTTTGAAATATCATCGGATTATGCCGCACGATTACTAATGTTGCAACCCTACCCAAGTAGTTCTCGGGACCTCGGTTAACGTTTCATGAGATCGGTCACTGATTGTAGGGAGAGTGATCTAACTGGTTGACCTTTAATTGTAAACAAGCATTCTCTTATGTGGTGCTGCATAAGTGGCGGTGCATGAAAGTGACCGGACTGAGTGCATGGAAGCCAAGAGAAGGGATTCTCAGAGCATGACAGGCAAACTGAGGTTTTATAGGAAGCAAGATAGTCTTGAATAACGTTTGGCTCAAACTCTCTACCTGCTCGCTTCCATGGCAATTGTACGGGGTTGTCCTACTAGTCGCCACCCCCTTATACCGAAGGAATTGCTGCACGTCGTCTGACATAAATGACGACTCCCGATCGGTGCGGGTGTATGGTAGAATAGCAGGTAATGACAGTTTCGGCAGACTGATCAGAATAGGCAGATGCGAATGAAAAATGAGGATATTCAACAATAATCGTCCACAGATAAGATGGAGACTGTCTTTCTGCGAATCCCAGTGACCTTGCCTGTTGAAAAGCAGTTTGGGAGCTCCAAGCCTTCTTAAAAAAAACCTCTGCCGAATCTGATTTGGCTGAAGGCTACTGATTAAGGCGTCTCTGATGGCACTATCACGATTCCGATCCTTCACAACAGCTTTGAAATCACACCATTTACCTAAAGACGTTAGCTTCCGATAAACTGGCCGAGGGAGTGTCCGCCTTATTGTCTGGAGGTCGCCGGAAAGTAGGCAGCAAAGATTTTATTAGATCCTGGGTAGAGGTCTCGCGGCAACCCAACAGCTTTTTCTTAACTGTTGCATTCACTAACGCATTTTCAAACTGTCGGAGAAATATAATTAGTCAAAGCGTTAAATTTATTCGGTTGCAGACTTCAATCGTGGCCATGAAACTATCAAACGTGTAAACCAGTGGCTCTGTCATCTGGAGACGTCTGATGTATTTAGATTCCATCGAGCCGTTCTGGCCTTAGAAATTGACCCACTCTCGAGTCGTACGACGAATAAATTGTTGTAATAAGAATTGTCACAGTCATGCGTGATAGCACGAACAAAATAAGATGAAAGAAACAGAATGGATGAGTACCCTAGAATTTGGCTTTTTCATCTTTCAATTGACGCATCGGGACTAAAACGGGAAACGGAACAGTAGTAAATCAGATAGAATTTGATCGGGGCAATAAATTAGCATGGCGACCACTAACTTGGCGGACAACTTTGCAGTTTCCAAATGACACCGCCGTTTGTGAACTGCTCCGTGGAGCTCGGCGTTTCAGCCCAGTATTTATTATGGTCATCCCTAGCCGACTTTGGGGTCATTTGCCGGAGATGGTGGAAGGAATTATGTTTACATGACCTCGATCTAACAGTATGAGCAAATAACTAAAAGGTTTTTTGCTGATACAGTTACTGTAGCGTTGCTGGGTGAATGCAATAATTTTCTCAGCTGCCTAACAGACTGGTGACTTCAATACTTTCCGTTGGCTACTGCCTTCTACGTTGGCTCAGGTCATAAAACGGGACCGATTTCTCTGCTCAGGGCCATGGCTGTGCTGGGTTGTTGACGTTTTGTAACATCGGGGCGCCTTGCAAGTAGCAAATATGGTGCGAATGAGGGGTGAACTTTTAAATGCGTACAAATAAAAACATAGTCCGACCCGTGGACGTCATCACTTTCAGCATAACGCATCGATCTTCTATCATGAACCTAGTCACCGAATCTTGAACTGGCCAGAATGTAATCGATCTTACTGGCCGTTTGACTGGCGGTCTCTTGTTGTGATGCTGAAAGCACGTAGTATGACAGTCAGCTCTAATCAGCACAGCTCAGAACTGTTGCATCAAGAGTGGAGCCCAGGGCGGCCAGGTCCACTTCGAGCATTTTTGTCTTCCACAACAATCAGCAGATCACGGCGAGGGAGTCTTTCAACCAATTCTTGCGGCCATGAGTAGTCCTCTTAATTGCGCTGTTCGGCAGCTGATGTTAGTGCGCACAAGGAGACGATAGAGGCGTTTCTAAAGTGACCCTTCAGTCGCATAAAAGCCAATCGGTTATCGACTTGTTCCCATGCATGCAGTGCACGGATCGCTTGCCACGACGGCGGTCGCCATATCATGTCTACCCGACGAGTCATAAAGATCGCTGTTTTACGGGGTTAAGAGTTGACACCCAGGTCTTTATTTTACATGAACCTGGGTTGGGAATTCAGATTTGAGACAGGCAGGAAATATCCACGTTGTACTGATGAAGACTTCGGGCGCAAGGGTTCGGAGCTAGGGTACAAACGGCTGATGGCAATACATTGGTCCGAAACGGCCATTCTAGTACGCGTTATCCGAATCAGTAATTTTTGAGGTTTGCGGAAACGCTGGCTGCATAAATGAAGACGCCATTTGAGAAATTTTCTTGTAAGGTTTTTCTGGTTGAAATATTCGGAGACACTAGGCATTCGGAAGGGGCATAACAGGACGAAAGAATGAAAGCAATTTGATGACGTTCCTTCAACAAATGAGTCAAAGGAAGTAGACGCGCAGGAGAGTAAACAGAGGATGTGGATGCAATACAAAGACGGATAAGTTTGTCGTGGCTTTTTGCTTTAAAATCAAAGGGGCGGTCAAAGCGGAATAGTCTGGGAATTTGGATGAACACTCGGCAAGGTGGTTTCTTGACAAGACAATACTCATATCGACAGGGATGAAGCGCAGACCTCATAAACAATTGGGTCTGGCATGTGCATTTCCAGTTCGCCCCTGTCACATTCTTAAGTCACGCCAGCAAATACTTAGTTTACTGCTGCGTCTGGGGACCTGCTTCGTAAATGTGCGCCTCCCGCGATCCATCAAGTAGGTATCGGCGGTAGTCTTGCGCGCAAATCTGGTAACGATGAGGCAAAATTATGCTGCACCTACTTCACTTTCCCGCCTTCCATCGCGTCCGACGATAAGATATGGGTGTGGACGCAACGGTGGACGAAAGTAAGCATTTGGTCGATGTACACCATACACAAACTGAGTCGCGATTCCCCACTCATTAATTCTACTGAAAGGGTCTGTGTCCCTACAGGAGAATCGGCGCGATAATGACTGCATTATGAAGAAGTCATTGCATCCTGGCATTCAGTACCGACAAGGATCAAGACACTTCGTTTGTCGGCAACCGCATGAGTCATCACTCCCAGCGTCAAATTTATCACAGTATGGAATCGTCGATGTACTGTATGGAAAGACTCCCTGGAAGGCGCCTGACTTACTCTTCCCCCTCCACGTGTCTGTGGCCTGTCGAATCCACCGGCCGACCGATGAGATTGAATAGTGTGCTTCGATCTTCAAAGCGCCATGCGTACGCGTGGCAACAGCTCGGGGCATACACAGATTCTGTGCAACCTGAAAAACGTATGCTGTGAATAAATGTGACCCCCGTCATTTTTTAGCGTGAAAACACGGACTGATTTTGAAGACAGGGGTTGAAAGCGCATATGGACGTGAATTAACACATTGTCGGATCTATTTCGCAACCTCTCCACTTAAACTGGTCTAACGCAGTAGCGCACAAATGTAAGTGTTCAGACAAAAATGCGTTAATCCACTTTTAAAAATTCAGCAGTGCTTAATTTTTGATTCCGTTCGAATTCGACGACAACTGATGTAAGAAGTACTAAGTGAGTCATGGCGGTAAAAAACTTTCTGATATTTATTCCTATTTACGAAACAATGTTTATGAGGGGAATTCATGCAATCGGTTTTAGAGAGTCAATGTTGCTAAGGCGCAAATTTAGACCTTTTATTTGCGCACATATGGGAATTTCTAACACACTCCACCTCGACAACAGGTCTGCCCGAATATTTCAAGAGAACAAGTCGCACTGCCCCAACCATGAGTGATTGGATATTTAAGTGATGTATGACTTACATGGACGGGTCTACCGAAAACTATATACAAGCGACCGCGCACTAATAACAGCAGCAGCAGGTCAGCTAGAAAAGCGCGGCCCGGGAACCAATTTAAACAATTCAAGTGAATGAATGCAACCGATATGAAGTAAAAGATAAGAACGATCTCCGCATAATCTACTATTTTATTGCACATGGTTAACCGAATGTATGAATAAAGAATAATTTAAATATTTCGAAGGCCGTAGTCATAAACTGACAAACTGCAGAGATTAGGGACATACGTGACACGATCCTTAGGGAATCTCTCCAAAACTTAGGTACGCACACCGAAGCATTATAGAGTCTGAAAGAGGCATCGATTTTTAGCAGATGCCAAGACGCTTCCACGGTGGAGCAGGGGCTCACATACTTAAGATTGAGGCAGTGTCGTCCGGAGTGACCACCGCGGATATCACAAAGACGACTGAATACGTGCACCGGCTTACACCCCGATTCCCTATTTCATGTGAAAACGACATCAAGAGTTGTATTTTATTGATCGCTTTTGGATGTAATCGAGGTGCCAAGGTTCTCTTGCCATGAAGTTCCCTCCTATCTATGTACTATCTGTCACATAATCTCGCCCGTGTAATCGCATCAGTGTAAATGACAAGAGTTCCGTTGCGCCCATGGGCGGTTGAACTAGATCATCTGGATAATCGTCGCCATCAAATTCTCTCTGCTCTCTTGAGTGTTCTAGGGAGCAGTTAGCCGAATGCGAATACAAAATCTCATGGATAGGGAGATCGAAAATGTCCACAACAGGAATTTTTTGTCAACAATAACCGTAGAACTTTCGGTGCCTTCTGTTGACAATATGGCCGGAAGTAAACTAAGTGATCCTATTGAACATCAGAATTGCGTAGTCTTTAAAAGCCCAACCAAAATGAAATCTACTACATCGGAAGGAAGGACTTCCGCTGACCATAATGCACTTCAAAAGAGACATGAGATGGAAAAGCTCATAGTGTTACTTTGACTAGCGGCTCCTAAAGGCAACACTAAAAATTTTTCTGCACAGCATGTCCGAATTCCAACAAGAGTGTGTGGAGGAAAACCGGTTGGTTGTTTGGGTCTCGTCGTCAGAAAAGATCCTGACATTCTAGACGAGCTATACTATCCGACTCAGATCGACCGAAATAATCATGAGTAAATTTTATGCGAGTACTGTCTACTTTCTGTACGATATGTCATTATCGGAATAAAATCGAATATGAGAGCAGAGGCTTCACGAATATGGTAAGGCTCACTCTTATGCGGAAACGTAACCCTGGACGGAAGTTATTTTAGGAACGTGTGTTGCATCTCAAAAGAACCACTGCCCCTTATGAAGTCCCAGGAAAAGGAGCGGACTTCGATGGATAGCATGAGATCTAAAAAGGTGATAAAAAAAGATTATGAAGGACGTTTTGCGGAAACGGCTGAAGTGCCGCATTTGAAACATGCGAAGCCCACAGGGACAAGAGTAAAGGCCTATTTTTCAAAAGGCTGCTCAGTTCAGTTCAGTTTGTTGAGGGAAACGTACGCATTGAACCTTTGAACTCTTTGTTTGTAACATGGAGGCGAATTGTATAAAAAATGTGAAAATGGAAACTTTAAACAAGCGGAGAAATTTTTTGGAAACCGAAAAGATAAATGAATTGTTCCAAGAGTGACAAACGTTACCATTACTAAATATGATGTACAGTAGTCAGCTAATGCATAATTGAGCCATAGAATATTGGTACGGTCTCACTTATCTGAGGGAGGCGAAGTGAATACCAACATTTACGTTCAGTGGACTAGAGATAATAATATAATAAAGGCGACCGTTGCTGAAATACGGACAGTAATATTGCAGTAATAATAAACTGATGGAACGGGATGCTAAGACGATGTCGTTCGGGTGACATTATGATATGTGGTGGCACGCTGATCCAATTTGCACTTAAAAGTCTCGACGGATGTAGACAAGACGATATCTGCAGGCAGTGCATTAGAAGCCTCGACAACTCTGTTGGAAAAGAAGAGTTTCCTGTGTTCAGCCTGGTGTCAGTCGCAGGTAGTTTGAGTGGATGACCTCCGAGGTTCATTGTAGTTACTAATTCAGTAAAGTCAGCAGTTAAAAGACGGTGGCCCTGACCGCGCACTTTATGGGATGTTTGTATTATGTCGCCTCTTAGCTGTCTGTAATTC